ACAATCAATCAAGGCGCAGATTGACGCGTCAGGCGGAGCTGTCAAGGTAAGGTGTAAGTAGCTCCCTGCGGTGATCGATTGACTAATACAAGAATGCTCTTGTAGTCGGTATGGCTCGTTGGAGGTTTCGCAGCAAGTCCTTGGCTTTTCAGTCAGCTACAGGAGCGTCTTGCTCCCTACCATGTCACCGTCAGTCGACCAGACAGCCAAACGTAAGAAGAGATCACGTCTGTGTGGGCATCGTGAAGTGCTAATCCTTGATTCAGGTCGAAGGCGGTCGCAGATGGTGCCATTGGTTTCTACTGCGACCATCACGTCTCAGCGCGCATGTCCAAGTTCATGTACGGTGTTGAGTACCTACGAGAATTCGATCCAAAAGATGAAGAACATGCCGCAAGGAAGCATCGCTTGTTCGAGTTGCCTTCGGGCCCGAAGTTGTTGCCAGACGCATTTGACTGCATCTTGAACAGAGTGGGTGCTCGAAGTACTCCCCCTGCCTTTCGATTGTACTAAGGTGTTGTGTGTCCACTAGGGCGTGCGTGTGAAAGAGTCGACAGTATTCAGTAGAAAGTACTGCACGGAGGTCACGAACCTGTCAACGTTGTCCGTCTTTGAAGTCGAGATTTGGTGTTATAGAGGCGGAGGGTCAGTGCCCAAGTGGATCCTCAGAAATGCCGGTTAGTACCCTCACCTGTGCCGACCAGCACATGCTTATTGACTGTTACTGACATCTAATGCATAGACAACTTCTCGACTCTGTGTTACGTACGTGCGGACCTGTCCCCTCTGGCAGGGAGCGCACAATCGAAACAGGGCAGGAATGGGAAGACCTACTGGACCATCGTGTTCAATATCGAAATCCACTTTGGGCTGACGGAGTTCAGGGCCCGCATCAAGTGGTTGGACAATGTAAGTCGAGCCAACTCGTTCGCTTGAAATCGACGCTCACGTCCGTCGCGAATAATAGGGAAAGACCAGATAGTACGTATGAGACAGCCGCATTAACGACACACGGATTGATGTCTTCTTTTCAGCGGCCCTGCGTCAATCGTGTACAACGAGAGCGGTCATCGTGCGGAAGAAGACGAGCCCGACGAGTCTCCAGAAGACAATGTTACGATCCTCTCCACTCAGTCGGACAGGTCACGACAGCCCTCGCGAGTACCCTCGAGGGAGCCCTCCCAAGCTGCCCCGAGTTCACGCGTCAGCTATGCACCGCGCTCGCCAAGCGTAGAGACAACTCGCCCGGAGCTCTCGCGGTCTTCGACTACGCGTAGCGCAATGCGGTCCGAGACACGTACGCCCGTCGACAAGGGCAAGCAGCGAGAAATCATACCGGAGACGCCGCGCCCTGCGACCCTTGACCGGTCTGTGAACGTGTCTGGTCGTTCGGCGGACTCAGGGAGGAGTGGCCAGTTGGCGGAGGCACTCAGCTCGGTTTGGGGCTCAGCGTCGAAGTATCAGTCTCCTGCAGTTTCCAGAGTAGAGTCGTCGAGGTCGACAGTACCGACGATGACAAGGGAGGAGCTCAGCCCGATCACGCCTCGAGAAGCCTCCAAGGTTGCGACACCATGGGAGGTCGTGTCTAAGCCGACGACCCCGAAGGAGGCATCGAAGGCGGCAACACCAAGGGAGGCTACCGCGCCCCCGACTCCCAGGGAGGTCTCTCGGATCCCCAGTCTCAAGGAGGCTACGGCTCCTCCGATCCCTAAGGAGCTGACCGCCCCGTCGACGCCTAAGGAGCCCTCCAAAGCGCCAACGCCGAGGGAGTCCAAGCTTCCAACACCGAGGGAAGTCTCGAAAGCCCCGACGCCGAAGGAAGTCTCGAAAGCCCCGACGCCCGAGGTCTCGAAAGCTCCAACACCCAAGGAGGTCTCGAAGGCCCCGACACCCAAGGAGACGTCGAAAGCTCCGACGCCCAAGGAGCAGTCTGTCGCGCCCACACCGAAGACAGTTTCCAAGGCACCTACGCCGAAGGCGGTTTCCAAGGCCCCTACGCCCAAGGAGACGTCGAAGGCACCCACCCCCAAGGCGACCACCCCTAAGGCATCGAAGGCGCCGACACCTCAGTCAACGTCGAAGGTGGCGACGCCCAGGGCTGACCCAGAGCCGTTGCCTGCAGAGCCCGCCAGCTCACTCGTCGACGCCGTCTCCTCCCTGTGGCCTCCCGCGCACGACGATACGGTCGTCCCTCCGCCACCAGTATGGGATATGCCGCCCACGATGCCTGATGGCACTCCGTCTGTGGCTGCCACGGAGAAGAAGGACGCACCCAAGACCGGGGCATCGACGCCGTTCACTGGCTGGTTCCCTGAGAACGAGACGAGCGCCACGAAGGAGCCCGAGTCGGCGGGTTTCTCGGACTTGGTGGGCTCCCCTGGTCATCCGAAACCAGGCGGGTTTTCTAGCTTCCTCAGTGGCGGTAGTTGGGGTGCCAAACCGTCGAGCAACGCTGGAGGCTTTGGCGGGTTCGGTGGCATTGGAAGTACCTTGTGGGGCAGTGGTGCTGATCCTGCGAAAGAGCAAGAAGAGAAGAGGAGACAGGAGGAAGAGCGGAAGGCACAGGAGGAGGCTGCCAAACAAGCCGCAGAGGTTGCTGCCGCCGCCCAGAAAGCCGAGGAGGAGGCTGCACAGAGGAGGGCCGAGGAGGAAGCTGCACAGAGGGCCGAGGAGGAAGCTGCACAGAGGGCCGAGGAGGAAGCTGCACAGAGGGCCGAGGAGGCTCGGCGGAAGACAGAGGAAGAAGAAGCGGCTCGGAAGGCAGAGGACGAAGCCAAGGCCAAAGCAGACGAGGAAGAGGCTGCGCGGAAGAAAGCGGTGGAAGAGGAGGCTGCGAGGAAGCAAGCTGAGGAGGCAGAATCGGAGGCTGCCAGACAGAAGGCGGATGAAGAGGAGGCCGCTAGGAAGGCCGAGGAGGAGAAAGCGGCGGCGGAAACTGCAGGGGCCTCGAAGAATGCTGAGGAGGATGCTGAGGCTACGAAGAAAGCAGAAGATGACGCTGAAGCTACGAGGAAAGCGGAAGAGGAGGCAAAGAGGAAAGAGGAAGAGGAGGAAGAGGCGAAGAAGAAAGCTGATGAGGACGAGTGGGCCATCCCTGCCAAGAAGGGAAAGAAAAAGAAAGGCAAGAAAGGTGCCAAGGACGAGGACGAGGCCCCTCCTACTGCTGCGTCCACAGCCGCTCCGACAGCTGCTGCCACTCCTGAGGCCGTTTCGCGTACGACATCCGCTGCCGCGCCTCCGGACCCCAAGAACGCGAAGAAGGCCGCGAAGAACAAGAAGAACAAGAAGAAGGGCAAGAACGCCGGCGGTGACGATGACGATGATAATAATGAAACGACACCAGCCCCTCCTGCCGCTGACGGTGGTTGGGGCAACTCGAACGCCTGGGGCGGCGGCGACGATGACGGTGGAGGCTGGGAACAAACATAGAGGATCATTCACGCTTAACGAATCCTATGGAGAACGTCCTTCCAGCATACTGGTTTCTTGGGCAGGCCCGTTGACGATGCACTGATCTGAATTCTTGTAGCGCAAGCTTGGTTTGTAGCCTGACAGTATCTTACGCTATCATGTACCACTGTATACCATCTACCGTCTGCTTGTTCTACTATACGTCTTAATCTACATGGAGGTTATACAAGGGTGATGCGATACATGACGGTGACCGATACGCTTGTCGACGCTGTGAGATGGCTGATGATATCGTGCAGACAGTACGCACGACTGCACGTTCAGTCCGCGATCGTGCCAGGCATTCAAGGCTACTTATGAGGATCGAGAACTGCATCTCGGGACAGTCCTAAGTGGTCGTCGCATCCTGGAGTCCGGGCCCCATGTGCGATGCACAAGTCGTCTATAATGCGAGTCTCAGGCCTAGGGTAGATCAGGATATGAACGTGAGCCTCACCGCATAGGTTGCAGCTAGACGTGGATACACTTCGACTCCCGCTGCGATCACCTACCCGTGCATAGGGCCAAAGCCGTCCTCACCGCTCATCGCCCGCGTCATTCGCCGCCTTGGATCCGGCGAGTTCATGCCCATCCCCATCCCCATGTCTGGTCCGCCGTGCATGCCCATGCCCATTCCCATGCCCGACATGTTCATGTTCATACCACCCATAGTCTGGGCCATCCCGGCATTGTTCATGCGCATAGGGGAGTCGGCGTTGTTGCCGTAGAACTGGCCAGGCGGAACGGCGCCCATGCCCATGCCGCCCATGTTGCCGAGCCCCATGCCAGGCGGGCCCATGCCCTGCGCGGACGGGGGGAACGGGTGTCGAGGCGAGCCCATGTTGGGTGTGCCTTGGTTCGCGAAGAACTGCTGGGGTACATGGTGTGGCGCGATGGAAGAATTGTGTGTACGAGACGGCTGCGATTTCGGCGTGCCAGGCAGGTCGGACATCTGCCGGTCGTTCGATGCACTCTGGCTTGTCGATGCGCCGCCGTCACCGTCTGCGGGCGACTTGCCCTCTTTTTGGTATTCGAGCAAAGGGCTGGGGTCGTAGTAGAGCTCTGAGTACTCTTCAACGAGGAACCTTTTCACGGAGTCGTCAGCGACTGCCCTGGAGTAGCTCGATGTGTGTGAGTACGTACTGCTGAGTGCCTATATCCCACTGCGGCCCTCTCTCAGCTCGGGCCGTGAGGAGTAGCGAGTTCCATTCGGACGCGCTTTCCTGGCGCATGTATACACTCAGCACTTCGCGTGAAAACCGAGCTTCCCATTGAGGGACTCACAATGGCCTGCGCTAGTGCACTGCTGGGCTCATACGCGGTTTGTCGGACATCGACGCGCACTTTCCCTTCACGAGCAAACGTCTCAACTTGAGCCGTTACTACTGGGCCGATCCGCTGAGAGTTGTGTCGCGGAACCTTGACCGTGATATTCCGCACTGGTTGAGTGGAAGGTGACATGGTTGCTCCAGAGGTACTTAGAGAATTAGGAGGAGGCAGCGCACTGAGGCGCTGCATAATTTTGCAGGTTAAGTCCGTTTGTCAGGAGTTGAATATCCTCTTATCCCTCACGTGGTCGCGTCGACCGCGCCTTCCTCCGCGTCGGCCATTGTGTTCTGTCTTCGTCGACTCTTCGACTCGGACGCGGTCTGACGCGGTGTCCCCGTCCTGCGTTTGTGTCTCGCCGCCTGGCTCGCTTGGATTTTGTTACTGGTTTCTTGTCTCTTTCGCTCCTTTCTTGCGTTGTTAGCTTACATGTCATCTATTGGAACAATGTCTCGTCGGGTTCCAACTCCTCTGCGCTCTGCTCCATCATCCGGGCCCATGGAAGCGATGGCCGCAAAGAAGCAGGAACAGATTGAAGAGCTCATTACCAAAAAGCGTACGCTCGAGCACACCATCGACAAGCTCCGCCAGGCCCTCACCGAGGAACAAAGCCGCGGGTCCGACGGCGTGGCCAGTATGCAGAAGCAGTTTCAGCAGGAGCGAGCTGAGTGGATCAGCGGCTGCGATGCGATACAGGCGATTCATCGTATGGCGCACGCGCGGACTGTGATCGAGCTGGATCGCGAGCACTTCGCGGCTCTCAAAGAGCGAGAGGCGATCCGCCTCGAGAAACTCGCCCGTCTGCAGCGCGACTACCGGCTCATCGGCTTTCAGCGTCGGGAATTTGACCTTGAGAGGCGCGTGCTGGACCTGGAGCGGGAGTTGGAGGAGCGGCAGAGGACGCATGAAGAGGAGACGCTGGAATTGAGCGAGGAGCTGGAAGAGCGATGCGCTACTCTTTCTGCTCAGCTGGAAGATACGGCGAAGGAGTTGGCTGCGACAACAAAGGGAAAGGACGCCACTGAGGTACGTCAAATTCGCAAATGCTGTTCTTATCTACGCAGTCGTGAATATCAGAGTTTTGCCTTGTCATATGTGCGTACTTTCCCGGCATCCAGGATGCATTATCGAAACTACGGATCGAACACAACGCTCTTGTTGCCTCTACGAGCAGTTCCGCGACTAATCTCGAACGCACAAGTCTGCATTTGGATGGACTCAAATCTTCCTACGCCGAGCTGGAGGCCAAGCACGCTGAGGGTGAACGGACCATAGCTGACCTCCGACGGCAGCTGGAGAAGTGGCGCACACTCGAAAGCCGTGAGGGGCCGAGATGGACACCCTACGACGCAGCAGGATCGAACTCGAGGTTCGCGTCAAGGAGCTAGAGACCCGCGTCGAGGAACTAGAGGAAGAATTGAGAGAGCGTGTTGAAAATGCGGAGAAACTGAAAGCGAAGATAGCCAGATACAAAACATCTTTCGAACAGTACAGAACCTCGATGGACGAGTATCAGGTACGCACGCCCGACCTCGTAACTAACTCGCGTCCGCTGAACGATACGAACCATACATCCTACGACAGAAAGCTATTGACGAGGCGCGCAGCGATGCTGACAAGGCAGAGGCAGAAGCAGAGGAAGTGAACGCGCGATTGGTGCAGGCGGAAGCGCAACTTCAAGCTCTGCGTGTGACCTCCAATGTGATGATGACGGGCAAGGTAAGGCGTTGGTCGACTCTTGTTCAATTGTACGATGTTCTTAGCACGGTCGTGGCCGTGTTCAGGCCTCTCCCGCAGATTCTGCTTTCGTCCCGCCTTCGATATCTGACCATGAAGGAGAGGACACTGCTACTGCAGATGAAAGAGCTCCCCCGTCGCCTTCGCCACCCGCGCCTCCGCGAAAACCACCAGAGCGTGGCGGCGACGTCTCGGCAGGTCAACGGCTCTGATGATGACGATGTCGTCATGGTTGAGCCCGACAGCCCACCGAAGACTCAGGAGGTTAAGAGGAAGAGGGGGCGTCCGAGGAAGAAACGGCCTGAGGAAGACGAGGTTGAAGTGGTCGCCAAACCCGCTACGGATCGTAAGGGGAAGCGGAAGGTCAATGACACGCACGAATCCGACGACGAACCACCTCTGAAGAAGAACAAGGGGAAGGCCAAGGACAAAGATGAGGTTGACGCTGACGACGAAGAACCCCCTAAGGCGAAGGCGAAGGCGAAGAAGCCCGCCGCCTCCGCTACTCTCAACAAGGGCAAGCCGGGACGTAAGGCCAGCGTCTCGACAGCAGCTCCTGCCCCCGCGGTGGATGGAGATGATGAAGAGCATGTACCGACGCCGGTCAAGAAGAAACGGAAAATCAACTTGTTCCCGTCTTCGCAGCCGGTGTCGTTCGATTGGAACCAACTTCCGCAGGTGAGCCTACACAGGAAACGAAGCCCGTAAACTGAGCTGACCATGATGTGACTGGAGGGCGGCGGAGGGCTCGACATCCCGAAGACGTTGTCACCGGTCAAGGAGACAGATACAGTTCCCCCGAGATCTGTGTTCGGCGGCAGAGGAAGTTCGGGCTTTGGCAGCTTCGGTAGTTTGGGTGGCCGGCGCTAATTCAGACGTTCAAGTTGACGGGTGCGGGTCTGTGTACAACCATGAATTCCCCTCCCCACTGGCATTCTATGACATATTTCTGTAGTATGTCGTGGACGCGCTATGCGCATCACGAATAGCGGCAGCCAGAGCACTCTGCCACAATCGGTACCTCCAGTATGGGCGGGAAAGCCAGAAACTTGACGAACGCCGGCGCCCGGGTTTAAGGTGTGTCGCTCTTAGCAGGTTCGAGTTGTAGACGGAAAGGCATAGAAGATCCATCTTGCGATTAGCGTGCCAGACTGATTACGCGTCCTCCAAACTGCCTGTCCGCCGTGCGAGACGGCCAGTTGCCGGCCAATGCACCGATGTGACGAGAATGTGAACGCGTGAAGAGTGAGCTTCACCAGCGTTCACATCATTCCGGCGCTGTATATCAGTGCTATTATTTTGTGCTACAGTACGGTCAACGACGCCTCAGGCTAGAGATCTCTTGCCTCAGGCGTGCGTTCAGTACAGAAGCAACACGACGTACTGTGCTAGTTCGAGCCAAAGCGCGCTCAGGCTCAGCACAGTGATAGGTTCTCGGCTCATGTCAGCGATGAATCGATGACACCTCGAGGTGTCGATCGTTGACAAGTACTTGTTTACCTTGTCATGTTCGTACTGTGGCAGCGCGTCTGATTGTCGTCGTTGAAGCCTCGAGAGGTCTAGGGACTAACGAGAAAGAATGCTGCGCTCATTGCTGTATACGTTGTTCTCGTTAACATTAGCAGTTGTCGCAGTTTCGTTCCTCTGGGTGAGGCCCAGACGGTCGGTATGGCGGACACGCCTTGATATTGCACATGTTGGCAGCTGCGAGACCTGTCATCTATGGAGTGATCGGTGGGTAACGGCGTGAATGTCATCGGGGCTACAGTTCTACAATATATAAAGTGCCAGGCCATCTCTGGCCTCAACGCCTTCATCTGGCACGACATCAACGACGCCTCGGTGCAGTCTGTCCACGCTCCCTCCTTCGACACCACCATGGACCGGGAATTTTCCAAGTGGTTGTCAATAATTAATATTCTCTGCAATATCCTCATCTTGTTGGCGCTGTACGAGAAGTTGGAGCAGCAAAGGATCATCATGGTACAGATACAGCAGCTATTGGAGCAGAAGTACGTGCCCGGTGCCTGTTCCAGAATGATGTATTGACCAAATGCTGTTTTATTTCTACTGGTACCAGCTCGCCCTTACTTACGTGGGCGACTTGGAACACAATTATGGATCACCTCGCGGCCGGCTCGAGCGCCGTGGTGATAGTAGTCGTGGGTCTCGCTATGATGTCCGAGTCGCGACCGTGGGCAGAGCCAGCACGGCAGGCCCCGGAGGCGACGCGACAGCGGCAGCTGCAGGAAGCACGAGAACCGCAAACCTCTGCAAGGTTCGTCGCGGGCACGGTCCGAGTCAGCCTCGTTGTTGCGGTACTACATAATCTTGTGACAGCCACGCCAGTAGTCCAATAGGGTGGTGTACCGGAGGGGTTACGCAGGGAGGCTAGGAGTAGCAAATTCTTCGGTAAGTCTCTTGTCGTCATGGTCCGCGGGCTTGCAGTGTTGATGACAAGTCCTGTGCAGTGTATCATGACATGGGAAGCGGTTAGGTCTTCAACGGTGCATGAGCGGGTTTGGAATTACAGAATAGGCATCGCGTCTTATGGTTTTCGTTTTGTATGAGGTCATGGTACATCATATAACCGAGTCTCGACCGAGCGACTGGGAGCGAGCGGCGAACGTACTTCGTCTCCGTTGCAGAACATAAGTAATACAGTAAGTAGCCATCCGCGGAAAGCCTGCGTCTATTATGGCAAATGCCACCTCCACCATCCGCGACGATTCCGCGTCGGTCACCCTCCTCCTCCTCCTCCGCTCGGCTCTCGTTGTACCCGTCCACTGGCACCCGCCCCCAGACGTCTAAGTTGTGTTCTCTCAAATGCTCGTTCTCTCTCAGCCTTCACAGCAATCATGGCAGCGGCGGGCATGCACGATGCTGAGGCTGACGAATTGGCGGGGGAGTGCCAGACAGCGTCAGCCTCCCTCGGCGTACATTTAACAGGTGACTGTCTTCTCTCTCCCGCCCGCTTCCACTTCTACCACCACTACCCGCCCTTGCGAATTGAAGTCGTCTTCACAGTATTCGATATGCTTGTCCTCGAGGCCTTAGCAGCGCCCTTGCGGGCCATACACCGTCGCCTCACATATTTCTACCGATTCCTTCTCATACTCGCACTATCTCGCATCTATGCTGTCAGCGTCGCGCACCTCCTCGGACTAGTGAACCTACGCCGCCTCTGCTTAGATCCGACCTACACAGTCCCACTCAAGCATGTCTTGGCCCCAGAACTTCACGGAACGAGCGCTATTATATGGATGGCCGCCGTCTGGGACATCACCATCCTCTCTCTGCGTGTCGCCTGGGTCTACCGAACCCAAGATGGGGATGTCGCCCTTCGAGTCAGCAACCTGGCAAGTGAGTGGCAGCGCACTTTGGGTCTGGTGTGCCGATATGCACTCGCCGGAGGGATCGTCGCCGTGGCTGCGCATTGTCTCGTCCTCTGTGGTCAATGCAAGGCCAGTGACATCCCCACTGCGATATTTGCGACCTGGATCCTCGCAACGTACGTCGTCTGGCCTGTCATGAAGGTAGTCATGGGTACTAGGGAGGCTCCTGTGGCATCCATGGACTCTGTGATGGTACGTCGGTGTTTCTCCCAGCGTCTCCTTTTGCTGAACGGGGTAACAGCGGTGGACTCTCGACGACCTTGTTGGGGCACTTCCGGTCCTAAGGCCGCGTAATGTGCCTCATGAGGACGACTGCGCGATCTGTTTTCAGTCGCTGCAAGAGATTCGCAGTGAAGCGCGCGCAATCGTCAAACTTCCCCAGTGTGGGCACGTATTCTGCAAGGCATGGTGAGCATCCAGGTCGTGTCTACCGCGTTCAAGTTGTCAGCTCTCTGACTCTGCTGTCGGGTAGCATCAGCGAGTGGATGCACATGGGGGTGAGTCTCATGCCGTCTTGTTGGTGTGATAGCAACTGACGCGAATGACGCAAGGGTAGTTCCTGCCCTATGTGCCTTAACTGCTTCCCCGACGACCTCCGTGCCATCTGCGAGCACCGGCGTTCTGCCCCAGTCATGTTTTTCCTGGAGGCGGCAGCTTCATTCATCTCAGCATGGCTCTGGGCACTCTTCGATGGACTAGCTGCATTCCTCGGTCTACTCATGTCGTGCTGCCACCGAATCGTGATGCTCGTTCGCCGGCTCACGATGTTCTTCCGCCGGCTTACGACTTTCTTCTGGCGACTCACGATGTGGTTCTTCCCTTGTCTCCCGGTGTTCTTTGGAACACTTGCGGCGCTTTGGGCTGAGACGGCACGGGTTCCTCAAGGATCCGACTGGTTCCTGAACGGGCAACGTTCTGATCGTATCTTCGACGACCGACAGCACCAACACGACACTCCTTTCCATCCTTCCGAGGCCTGCGACAAGCGTTTCGAAGAGCTCTTGGCGATGATGCAACAACATGCCGCCATTCGTTCGGACGACATAGCTCGGCAAGACAGAGTCATACAGTGTCTCGAGCGGCTTCAAGTTGCATTGTCTGTTGACCGCCTGGCCCATGCGACAGCGGAGGTGCGCGCCCCTCCGGCCTTCGATGTGTAGGTCTCGGCGGGGAGGACGAGAGAGCGACTGGGCCAATGACAAGTCAAGACCCGTAGCTGGACGAGTGAGAGGTGATGTTTACTAGGATCGTATCGTCTTTGGTGAGGCCTAGGTCGAAACTCTGCCCCGCGCATTTTCTGACTGCTCTCTGCAGGGTATTGCAGTCTTTCTAGGATCTGACCAGTCAATCCGCGCGCACCCGGCTTGGCCGAGCCCGGGTCTGCCATCGGTCGGATCCTCTGCTGCGACACAGGAAGGTTTTCTCTGAGTCGCTGTCACCTTTTGTCGAGTAAGCTTCGTCTCAATAGTTTGATGCGCACTGAGCTCACGTTCTCGTTGATGTCTAGGGTGGACGGCAGTGGAGGTGGCTTTGATGGCTCCATCTCAAGGCCTTTCAATTCTGCGCTGACATCGTTATCTCTGGACTGCCTAGGTCGCAGATACATCGGCAAAATTAAGTCTAAAGGGCGCATAGTGGTTGCAACTCGGACCTTTAATAGGTTGTGCGGCTAGTGTGCTGTTCAGGGTTGGATGTGCGGAGCCATCGAAGAGCACGAATGGACGCAATACATACATAACATGATATGGACGATATGTGCAGACCATTGTCAATCTCTGCATGTAGACGCACTTCTCGTTACCGTCCGGGGGCAGTCATTTGGTACTTGTACAGTAGTACAAGTGACCATTGGTTCAGTTGAGCTGTTCTTTGCCTCTAGCATGACTCGGACGTGTATAGTTCTTCACGAAATGGATGGTACGATTTGATCTTGTCGAGGTGTGTGCACCGTGGTGGCGACTCTAGGCCTTCAAGTTCATTGGGAATAGCGAATTCAAGTCGCTTTTAATGGGAGCTGAGACTCTGCATGTCATGCCTGTCAACGACCCCTGAGTAGGACACGTCTACATCAATCTACGAGATTAGTACATGCATAGCAGGATTGTTCTCACCTACTGCGGCATGAGCACCTTGCAGTGAAAGACATCCCAGCAACGGCAAGGCTTACCCTATTAAGCCACCGGCGCCTGCTGCCAACCTACATCGATTCCGAGTCGCCTCCTCCTCCTCCCTCCAACTTGAAGTCGCGTCAGTTGGCTCGTCCCAATCTCATCCTAACCTCGAACCCGCATATCGACCGTATCCTCTCATCTCCTTCGTGTCGTTGATTCTCAGGCCTCCCAATCCAACTTCAAGTTTTGGTACTGCCCAGGCGTTGCTTCTGTTTTTGCTCGCTCCTCGGGGAGGCTTTCAGTGGTGGGTAATCCAAAGGTTTGGCGTTACCGAGGGGCTGATAGCCGACGCTGTATTCTTTATTGGCGCACTCGTCGTGAACGCTGCTGCCAACAACACGCTCAAGACGGAGTTAGAGGACTTGGCTGAAAACATAGACATGTTTTAGCGGAGCTCTCTGGGCACGAGGCAGGTCAGTGTATAGCCGTGTAGCTGTTTTCAAAACGGCTACACAGCAATACACTGACTTGACCAAGAAGGTCGAGGATCTTACGGTACGTTGCGATGCCTATTGTGATGCCGACTCAGACGTTTGCTACCTGCGCGTATAATCTTCTGTTAATGCAGAAATTGCAGAATCGACACGCCTCAGGGCTGAGCTGGCTGACTGCAAAGAGATGACGAAGGCCAGCAAGCAACTTGTTCTGGATGTTGTTCCTGCCCCTGTAGCTTCGCCGGTTGAGACCAGTTCAACGCAGAAGTTTGAGGTTGAACTCGCCGACCTTCGTCAGTCCGTCGGGGAGTGCAACCCCTCCATCCAGGAGACCGTCATGGAATGACAGCAGCCTCTTGAGTCCCAGGTGCTCTGCACCACTTTAGTAATTGTCACCAGGACCCTATTGAACACCTGCAGCTACTCAAAGAGTTCAAGACGCACATCGAGAAGGCCTGCGGACCCCTTGAAGCAAGGATAGCGCTTGCCGAGTGCCACGCGCGTGGATCTCGGCAAGCGCTATTCTCGCTTCGAGGGGTCCACAGGGCTTCTGGGATGGTCTTGACAGGCGCAATCATGCCCAAAAGTGACTGCTCAATGTCTTCGAGCAATTGACAAAGATTGCCCACAAGAAGGAAGTGGACAACCTTCGTCAATTGCTCAAAAATGTCGAACGACCCTCTTGGACAAGATCATAGTTGTCGAGAGCCACGTTAGCGCACATTCAGGGCGAGCGTGTCCGGATGAGCTGAGTATCTCTCTTCATGTTGTGACAACGAGTGTTCTTTCTCCGGATCGCTGATGCCTTCAATCAGGTGAACATCGTGTTGCTGTTCTGACGTGTGTACTGGTACTCATACCCTCGTTGAGACATTGACGGCTGGAAATGATAGTAACGAAGGGGCTGGCGGAGGGCTCAATATTTCGAGGACGTTACCATCGCAGGTCAAGAGTCCTTCCCAGATCTGTCTTCAGCGGCAGAGGAGGAGGGTATTCCATTTAGCCACGACATCTAAGTAAGTTAAGCTTTTGACGTCTTCGGTAGATCGGCCTGTAGTCGGCGTTGATGCGAACGTTCAATTTGACAGGTATAGGAGAAGGACGCTGTCACCGTCTGTGTACCCTCCGATCGTCATCCTGCTGCTCACGATACAGGACGTCCTGGATATGCTAAGATAAGCACCGCGGGCAATGGCACCCAGAACACTCGAGTCTGATAGACCATTGCACCTTTGTTACGGGGATCCCGGAACTCTGAGCGGGCTCGAGTCGTAGACGAGACGCACACAGGCAGGACTTGAGCTTCAAGTTGAAGACCTGTCTTGTGTTGACGTACCGTGCTGCCGATCTGCCGTGCAAATGGCCTATCGCTAGCCAACGCGCCGACGTGTTCACGAGGATGTGAACGCGTGAAGAGTGGGCTTCGCCGTGTTCTCATGGCCCTGCATACCGTATACCAGTGTTGTACCCATGCGATGCGGTGTAGTGAACGACGCTCACAGCGATCGCGCGTATCTCAGTACAGAAACACTAGCATGTAGCACGACATGTCTTGCGGTGTTGGTTCGAACCGCACGGCGTTCGGGCTCAGCACAGCATTGACATGTTCTTCAAATTGCTTCATGTCAGCGATGACACGGACACCTCGAGGTGTAGATCGCCGACAAGTGATTACTCTGGCATGTTCGTTCTGTGATGTCCGACTTCGAGCAGCACGTCTGACTGCCGCTGTTGAAGCCTTGGGGACTCCAGGGACCAACAAGAGAGAACAATGTTTCTGATTGAGATCTCGCTGTAAGTTCTCTGGCTTGTTGCTCTATCGAACATTGGCGGTATTCACAGTCGACATGCCAGGTATCAATCTGCGGCGCGTCCGCCATACCGATCGCCTGGTACATGTTCAAGTTGACAGCTGAGAGGTCTATTAAGTAATCGGAGCGTGACAACGTGAACATCGCCGAGGCTGTAGTCGAACAATATATATAACGGGCGAGACCACCTGTGGACCCCAACTTCATCGTCTGGCACGACATCCGCACACCCCGGTTACCGCCTATCCACAACTTATTCACGCTCCCTCCTCAAGACGCCACCATGCTCCCCTGCCTATGGCTGCTTCTTTTTCTCCTCGAAGCGGTCGCCTTCGTCGGAATCCTGAAGACCTTGGAGTATGCGAATTTGAAGGCGGAGTGGCAACGAATATTGGACCGGAGGCGCGTGCCTCGCACCTATTCTACATTGATGCGTTGGTAACATCTGAGTTCTTTCTAGTGCGCCTATATTCCTCCTCGAGAAGCCCACCTTCAACATATACTTTCTGTCAAAGGACGTCGTCTATGAGAACCCCGGGCCGGCACCGGAATCGTCGGTCGCATATCCTCCAGGATTCTTCTTAGAGCATCAATACTCGGCTCTCCCCGAATTCGACCACGCCGTGCAGCCAGACAGCCCTGTAGCCTCCAACCTACGCTCCGCACCTACGTGGCTGTCCGAGTGGCGCGGTATTATAGAGCTCATCGTGATCGGCTCGATTATCACGGTGTGCATCGTGATTGTCGGTAAGATGATATTGAAATTGGGGTTGCAGCGACAACGGATGGTCCTGGAAGAGCGGGCGAGGGAGAGGCAGAGAGTACGAGAGCAGCGCCGGGCAGGCCCATTGCGAGTACGAACACGGTCCGGGGAACCTTTGCCGTTGCAGGACAGTCATGTCCGCGTCGAAAGGGTAGCCCCCGCGGAGGCAAGCAGGGCAGGCTAGCTCCAGCAACGTCCTCGCCAGTAAGTCTCGGCACAGTTTGTCTGATTTTCGTATGATTGACGAGTCCTGCGCAGTCATTCAAGAACCGACCGTACCGTGGCATGCAAAGCGATCGAGTCGTCAACTCCCATGCACGAACGTACGCGACTTTGGACTCGGAGGATAGACATGTATCGCGTCTTATGATTCAGTTTTGTACAAGGATCGGATACAGACATCGCTATAAACCCGAGTGTGATCATGGCTCTGCAGTTGAGTGCACCGTCCAGAGAGACTAGACCATCGATTTCAACTTGAACGTGTGAACGTTGGCCTGCCTGCCCGGAGCTTATGCGGCTGGTGAGGTTGAATTACGTAATGGCGCTGTCAGTACGATATTTGTCATGCATACGCGCTGTACTTATGTTCTACAAAGCTGGCAACGAATACACATAACGTCTGGGTCGACCTGAACGTTCACATTTGCGTATCATTGTCAGTAGCATGGTCAAGCCCGCATACAAGAAGGGTAGAGCTGCAGGGCTCTATCCTTTTTTGTACCATGCGTACTCTGCGTCGAGGCTGACGGGTGGCAAGTAGTGTCAGCCTCTCCCACCGAACATATAACGGACCAACGAGACTTGGTACTGTCTCCCGCATACTTTCATCGACTCATCACGACCAACGGCCGCGACCACTAGCACTCGAGCTCGCGTCCAACATGCTATCACTACTCGATGTGATATTTACGCTCTGGCGCATCATATCGCGCCATCCCAAATCTCACGTCGCCCAGCTTCTCCTCATATGTGCTCTCTCTCGTATTTACGCACTCAGCGTTGCCATTAACCTCGGACTTCTGGATCTGCGACGCCTCTTCATCGATCCAAATTACACACTCCCACTCAGCAGAGTCCTCGCACCCGAACTCCATGGTTTTCGCGGCGTCCTATGGATGGTCAACGCTTGGCAAGTTCCTTATCTCCTTGTGTCCTGCGCCTGGGAGTACAGACATCATGACGACGATGTTGTATTCTTGCTCGGTGACCTGGCAGGCAACTGGCGGCTTGTGATCGGTTTCGTCTGCAAGTACTCCATCGCCGGCAGCATCATGACCGTCATTGCACACATTCTAATCGTCCTCGGTGTGGCCGAGAATATCCGATATGGTGCCGAAGTGCTGTTAATACTGGTGCTCTGGACCTGGATTCTCACCGTAGTTGTCATCTGGCCTCTTGTGAAGTCGATCATGCTTTCCCGGGACGTTGAGTTGCCTTGGACGGGGAAGGTGCGTGAGGCTCTCCTATAGCATTCTTTTCTCTCTGATTTCTAGTCTGAACAGTGGACGGTCGGTATCCTTGCTGCGGCAATGCCAATTTTGCTAGAGGATATTCCTCCTGACAGCGACTGTCCAATTTGTTACCAGTCGCTGGGAGAGCTTTTCGATGAAGCGCAAGACGTCGCCATAATTCCTCAATGTGAGCACGTATTCTGCCATGCGTGGTAAGCACTTAGAATCTCTTGTCTATTGTGCTGTCAACACTCTAACCATTCTTCCGGTAGCATCAGTAAATGGATCTGCAATGGGGTGAGTGTCACCCCTTAGTGTTGGCTTGATTGCGACTGAAGTTCCGTACTAGCATGGCTCTTGCCCATTGTGCCGCTACGACTTCATTGAGGACCTCATCGATATCTGCGAAGACGACAAGACTTGGGATTTTCAGCATCCGGGCACCGTGACAGGTTATCCGACGGCGCCAGCCTTGTCCATGTCGGTGTCGCTCGAGGCACTCCGCAACCGACTCGTTGCACTCTTCGGTCTAGTCATGACATCCCCCTACCGAGTTGTCACAAGATGCCTGGCGACGTTCCTCTACGGGATCAAGACACTCTTCGACCCACTCGTTACCCTCTCCTACCAACTCGTGGCGCTCTTTCATCGAATCACAGCGTTCGTGGACAGTCTTACTGCGCTATGGGATGAAACGGCGCCAGCCCCACAAGAGCCAATCGTGCTCACGGACGAGCAACATTTCGACAATATCTTCTTCGACCGACAGCACCGGTATCACGTCCCCTCAGAATCACACGAGGGCCGTCACGGGCGTATCGAGGAGCTCCTAACGACCATGGAACAACGCAGTGCCGCTCGCATGGACAAACTGGCTCGGCAAGACAGACTCTTGCAGAGCCTCGAGCAGCGTATGTTGTCTCTCGACCGCCGGATCGGCGGAACGACGGACAGGGGAGCGCTGCGCGGTAGTGCGCATCGCCCCGGCTTTTGAGCCATGGTATCGACGTGTCCGTTTGACTGCCCGGTGCAAGGGTCAGACGGATTCGTCGCTAGGGAGGGCAAGAGGCGCATGGGACAAAGCCAAGACCCGTAGCTGGACTCGGACGAGCAGTAGATGATGGTCAAGACTGTGTCATTGTTGTGGTGAGGATCGTGTCCCGACTCGGATCAGCGGACTTTCTGACAACTTTCCGCAGGATATTGCAATACTTCTGGGGTCTGCCCAGTCAAGTTACGCACACCCGGCTTGGGCGAGTCCGGGTGTGCCATCGGCATGATTCCGTTCGCGTCGCGACAACGGGTGTTCTTCTCCGAGTCGCCGACGCAATCAGGTGAGCATTGTGTTTCTGGTCTGATGCGCGTGATTCTCATGCCCTCGTTGATGACTAGGGTGGATAGCAGTGAAGCGGCTTTGATGGCTCCGTCTCAATGCCTACCAGATGCACACTGTCGTCATACCGTGATCACGAAGCTCGTGCACGACACTTCGACGGTTAGTCCCTTCAGCTGCGCATGTTCCTCATCTAATCAATGGGCGTGCTCCCAGCGCGGATACATCGACAAGATCAAGTCTAGGAAAGCGCAATGCGGTTGCAACTCGGACCTTCAAGAGGTTGCGCGGAGCAGATGCGCTATTTGGACTTGGATGTGCGGAGCCGTCGAAGACGCACGAATGGATGCAATATACACGAAGCATGGTACAGACCAAGTACAGACGATATGTGCAGACCATTGCCAATCTCTGCACTGCGACATGCCGTTCGTTACCGACCAGCGGAGCAGTCGCTTGGCATTCGTACAGTAGTGCGAGTGACTGTTGGTTCAGTCTGATCGTTCCCTAGTACCTCTCGAAGCATATGCATATACGTTGTTTGCTGGACGATATCATTCATGTACAGAATATTTGAAGGCCTGCCAAAGCTTACAGGTACACTCACATTGGTGGTGACCAGTTCCAACTCTGCTGTTCGAGCGTGTCAAGCTTCAAGTTAGTCTCAATATGATTGCGAGTGGAGGCCGCTATGTACGAGTTTCTTTAGTGAAACTCAACTGCTCAGCGCTAATTTGGCGCTCAACGTTCACCGGCCTCAAGTCTTTCAGTTCATCCGCTTTGGGCCGAGACCAGTGCACGTACGCTTCGTACTTACCATCGTCGCCCCTGATACTCGGCCATATTGTCTTTGTCTCTTCTACTCGTGTCCGTCCTGAAGGGCTCTTTGACCTCCGACATCCGAATCCTGGGTCACGTTCACTGGAGTTTGCGGCTTCTCGTAACCTAGTCCTGGCTGTCAATTGTCTGGCCGCTGCAAGTCACAGTCAGGTCAACCTCTTCTGCTCTGCCAATGCCAGGCCGGATTCGCCGCCTCTTTGAAGCCTTACAGCCGTGGTTCATCGGGATCAGTGCCGTGCTATGCGGTGGGCTTTCTGTAATCTGGTCACTGTACGATGGGTCGCAGTTCCTCAGCGATCTTGGGAGAACTCTGATACGAACGGTCGCTGCCTTCATCCATGGTGTCTTCTTTGTGCTCTTCATCGGAGCCTTTTTCCAAATGCATAACTCTGGAAAGACGGACCTAACTAGTGCCCACGAAGAGGAGATCTCTCAGCTTTTGGAGACGGTCGATCAAATTCAAGCTGATATGACTGAATATATCGAGAAGGCCACGGTGCGTTCCGTTGCAATGCCTCAATATATGACAATTCACACATTCATATCCTGGTCATTTAGTTAGCCGCGGATACGGGCCGCGAAGAATTGAGGGGCCTCCGGGCAGCGCTGGCCAACTGTAAGCAGATGATCGAAGCTAAGGAGCAATCCGTTCTGGCGGTCATTGCCAACCGTATGCCTCTACTCGACACAGCATCGACCCTGTACATCAACGGTCAACTCGCCTACCTTCACCGCTCTGTAGGAACAGTCAACCCATCCGTCCAAGCAGTCATCTCTGAACGTATACAACTCCTCGATACCCAACCACTTCGAGACCCGCCTCCTCGCACCGACAGCTCGGGGCTAGAGGACATCCATCAGTCAATCGAGGACGTCAAGGAGGCTCAGGATTCTCTCGAAGCGAGGATCGCACCTCTTGAGACCTGCCTGTTGAAGTCCATCCCCGCCATCGAGAGCGACCTGGCTGCCCTGCGTCAGACGTACGCGGAAGTCGATGAAGCACAAAAGTCTTTCGAAACCCGGTTTGCGCCTATCGAGAAGAAGATGCAATGTACTATGGACACCGTGAACAAACTAGAGACCCTCACGCAGTCGCTCGAGGCCATTGGCGCGGACGCGAAGAAGCACCGGGGGTCCCTTGAAGAAAAGATCGTGTCGCTGGAGACACAGGTTCCGGATGTCAAGACAGAGCTTAAAGCAGCTGTCGACAATGCCCTGCAGGGTCAAGCATCTCGCGAGGAACGTGTCACACTTGCGCGGTCTATCCTGGACTTCCGCAAGTCGATCGTTGATGACCAGGACAGTCTCAAGGAAAGAGTTGCTATCCTCGAGACCCAAGTGCAGTCGGTCGACCGTATTGCGAAGAATGTCAAGACGAATCGAAGGACGTTCGAGCCCAGGATCAGGTATCTTGAGGTCCAGATGCGGTCCATCCAGGATGTCAAGAAGGAGCTTGACGACCTCCGCAAAGAGCTTGCAACTGTCGGCATGGATATCAAGGCTCAGGCATCCCACGAGGAGCGCGTCAAGCTTCTCGAGGCCGAAGGACAGTCCATCCTGGACTTTCGCGAATCGATCGCTGATGGCCAGGACAAACTCAGGCAACGCGTCGCTACTCTCGAGACCCAAGCGCAGTCGATCCCGGATGTCGAAGAGCTGGCTGACTTCCGTTGGTCGGTCTGCGCTGTGAAGGAGCTCAAGACGAACCAGGAGTCCGTCGAGAGTAGGATCAAGCTTCTTGAGGTCCAGACGCAGTCAATCCCGGATGTCAAGAAGGAGCTTGACGACCTCCGCACAGAGATTGTAGCTGTCGACACGGATATCAAGGCTCAGGCATCTCATGAAGAGCGCATCAAGCTTCTCGAGGCCCAAACAGAGTCCATCCCGGACTTTCGCAAGTCGATCGCTGATGGCCAGGACGAGTTCAACAAAAAAGTCGCTGTCCTCGAAACCAAAGTGCAGTCGCTCCCGGATGCTAAAGAGCTGGTTGGCCTCCGTGAGTTGGTCGAGTGTGTCGAGGAGGGAGTCAAGACGACCCGGGAGTCCGTCGAGAGTAGGATCAAGCTTCTTGAGGTCCAGACCCAGTCCGTCCTGGAAGACAAGACGGAAATGGCCAGCCTCCGCGATGTCCAGAAGCTCGACGAAAGAGTTGGGACCCTCGAAACTCAGACGCAGCAAGTCTCGGATGCTCAGGAGCTGGCCGATCTCCGTCGACTACAGGGTGTCAAGGCGAGTGGCAGTGCCATGACGAATCGGGAGTCCATCGGCAAGATACTCAACTCTCTTGAGGCCACAATCCTCGAGACCCGCACGCGGTCCGTACTGAGCCTGGAGAGCAAATCAGTCAACCTCGGACACCCGCTCGCTGATGTTGAGGCGTCTATTGTGGAAGACGGGATCATGCTTCCCGAGAGCGAGGCGCATACCATACTACCGGACACCGACTCCAACCAGGAGATGAATTTGGTCTGTTGCAACGGTCTCGACACAGTGGCTGAGCATTGTGATGACGAACTGGTGAGGCTCGAAATGCCTTGTCCTCAGCCTTGTCTTCAAGCATGCGACGAAATGGAGATGCTGGGCATACCACCGTAAGTCGCACTGTCAGCTCCAGCAGGCTCAACTGACATTGCTGTGTCCCAGTTCCGAGACTGTCACCCTTGAGCGATCGAGAGCCAGAGCCGAGAACACTTCGACATCAACAATCGAAGTGAATGAACATCTCGTGGCCCTACGGGAGCGCGCGAGGACCGCTGTCCGTTCTCAGCCACATTACTATGCCTTGGACGACCATCAAGTCGATTTCGATGTCTCTCAAGCACGTTGCGACCGTGTCTCGCTCATGCAGGATGTGATGGGATTTGAATGTCGCCCGGACATGGATCAGTTGCCTGAAAGCGACTTAGTGAATCTTGTCAACAAGGTCACCCACCTACGGGGACAAACTCGTCATGGACAGCTAGGCCAGCTAACACGTCAGGGGCGCAGAAGCTCGGGCAGTTTCCAGAGTCTGAAGTCGCCAGACTCAGAGGCCCTGCTGCATGCCCTGGTCTTCAGCAGCCTGGAACTCATCCAGGTCTGCTCCCTTATCCCTGGTCCTCTATCACGGCGACCCTTCAACTTTGATGTGAAGTTGGATTGCTACCCCTCACCCGGGTTTATGGATATGATGCTCACGCGTTTCAGCGATCTTGCTGGATGTCTGCAATCGTTCTCTCAAGCAGGGGGGAAGTTTGATAAACTCGCTCCCTTGCGAGTCGAGATGGTGGTTCTGCAGTGTCTGGCCATACTCTCGGGTGAACGATCATTGGCCGAATGCGCTCAGGTTGTGATATTTCTCTTAGTGCAGAGAATAAACGATTGTTGATCATTGATTTTCAACCAGGTCGTCGACATCTCGACAGAGATGATGCTGATCGGCGAGCATCTGGCCGAGCGCATTCCAGACTTGGTATCAAAAGTTCGCGAATTCAAGCCAAGCGCGGACGAGCCACTTCAACTCAGGCATGAGTTTGTTGTGTTCAACGATATCGTTGAACACAACGAACTCGTGCATGAGTTGTACACCAGCGTATTCTCTTCAAAGGGTCACGCGTTTACCTGGTCCTTGTGGGTAGACCTCGCCGCCATCGCCGATGACCTGTTCGTGCAGCCTGGTGCTCCGATCAACAATTCGAGGTCAACCGACTTCCTCATAGCCACTCTCAATGAACGCGACCGAGTTGACAAGGTGCTGAAGCGTCTTGGGGGATACGACGATGACGTCTCCGTACGCAAAGCATGGATCACGGCGAAGATGGTACAACGCCTTCTCAACATGCTATATAGTACGCATGTCGGGGAACTTACGAAGTAGCGAGACAGTTCGGCTCTTTCATCGCATACGCTTGGACACATGCACATAGATAAAGGACGGTATTCTGATTACTTTGGCATTCGTTGTTTGGCTTCGACACGGACATGGACTGGTGTACTGTATACAATATGATCGTGATGTAATCCCAATATCTTCCAGACGTGTGCAGTACCTACGGTGTGATAGATCGCGCAGACAAAGCGACACGCCGATACCAAACATTGAGCATACGGGAGATCCCGTATGATCATTATATTCAAAGCACCTATACGCAAATGCTGCTAAACTGCGCAAGTTAGGTCGTCAGTTCTCAATTCTCACTGAGCAGCACGCACTAACGGGCCTCACCAGGATGGTCCTCAGCCACGCGTTTGGACATCACCATGCACCAGGAACGTGCACAGCAGAACCTGAGTTCGTCCGGTGACCCCGACTCTGAGCAGGCGCACCGTCCGTCGGCTCAGACTGTCCACTCGCATCCTCCTCCGCGAGATTCAGCTCCATATCAAGCTTCTTCGCAAGTTCTTCGTCTGCGCGTTCGCGTTCTTCGGCCTCCCGCCGCCTCGCCTCCTCCTCCCGCTCGAGCTCCAGCGCGAGAAGCTTGTCGCGATCCTCTTGTTCCGCGCCCCGCGTGAGCACTGCCTTCCGCGGATTCTTGGCGGGCGCGGCGGCCGATGCGAGGGGGTTGAGGTGCGGCTGAGGATGCGCGGGCGTAGGTGTGTGGACACCCTCAGGCTCGTCTGGGAGGGGGAGCGGTGTAGTGTACCGCTCGGCGACAGGGAATGAAGGAACGGGGAATGACGGTAGGGCTTGCGAGCTCTGGGGAGGGTAGTATTGGGCGTACGATTGTGTGCGGGCAGCTGGCGCGTTGTTCTGGAATGCGTGAGGACCGGAATCGTGAGGCGCAGACCACGGCGCCTCGTTGTGCGGGATAGGTGGCGGAGCGTAACTGTAAGGTGCTCCCCGCGCTGGCTGGGTTTCTTGAGGACCAGGAAGAGGAGGCAGCGGTGGACTGGGAGATAGCGGCGGTGACGTAGGGTATTGCGCATGGATAGGGTTTTGCGGTGGGAACATGTTTCTTGCGGGCCCGGGAGGGCTGCTGCTAGTCGAGCGAGCATCCCTGCCTGGAGGTGGGCCAGCTCTGAGCGAGGAGGGCACACCGAAGGAGCCCGGCGGCGATGCGCGAGGAGGAATCGCGACCGGGGCTCGGGGCGGAGAGTGAGGAGGGGACACATTGACAGCGGTGTATGCGCCGTAAGCAGGAGGCGTAGGGGTATGACTGGGAATACTGTGCGAGTGCGACGAATCTCGTGGATGGGGCTTTTCGCTGTAGTGGATGTCTCCTTTCGGGTTCCCAGGTCGTAGGATGTCGGGTATGGACGCAGGGGAAAGGTGATCCTGCGGGATTGGCGGGAGCGCATCGTACTTGGACCGCGGCGACGTCCGTGGCGAGGTGTGTGTGGACGTAGGCGGTGATAGGTGAGTAGGCGTACCCGCATTATATGCAGGGGTGAGCGTTGCCGGAGGATTGCGCGAAGGCGATGTCGACGGGCGTGATGTACGCGTTTGTGGTGGGGATTGGTTTTGCTGCAAGCTCGAGTACGAATAAGCCTGAGAAGAGCGTACAAGTCGTTCTGAGGTGGGCATCTTCGTCTTCCGCCGTTGCAGGGGCGCAGGACCCGTCGCGAAGTAGGTCATCTCGAGGTAGAGCTCTCCGCGGTAGGTGCCGTTCTCCTCGAGCTTCACCCAGTCTGCGTGAGCGATTATATATGAACCTGCACATAATTTCGGACGAATGTCGCGAGCACGCACCATCGAACTCTCCTGTCCTCAAGGTCTCCTCGATATCGACGGCACCCTTGCCGATGCACTCCACGCCGCGAGGCTCCTTCCGCCAGCAGCTCACCTCCATGGTCCTGTCCGCCTGCTTCGTCTTCTGGTAGATCGGGAAGCGAAGCTCTTCGTCCCAGACGGGGTGCTGCCCGCCTTTAACATCGACCTTGGTGGACTTCGTGCTGCCCCCTATTGCCACCTGTGACAAGACGTCTTGCTTGTAGAGCGAGTGCCTGTCGGGGAGGTTCCGGGCCTTCAGCACGACAACGACCAGTGTTCCGATTTCCATAGTGCACGCGGTAGACAGAGTTCGTGTATGCGGTAGGCAGAGAGTAATTTGTGGTTCAGAGAACAAGATAGGAGTGTATAAATAAGCTGCGTCGTGCGCTGGTATCAAGAGAGATCAGGGTATACGCCAGGGGATGCGCCGGCCAAGGCCAAGTCCGAGCATCATAAGAGGGGTACTCCAACACCGCCCCCACTCTTCCGCAGCGGGAGGTGTGTAACTTACTTGGTTCACATTGTACAGCGTTGTTCATCAGCACACTGCATCCGACAAGCCTGAGTCAGAGCAGAGCCTTGGGCAGAATATTTACCGAATGTGTCGGCAGTGCACGGCGCACCTAAGCTTATCTTAAGAGAAAGCCTTTACAATGAGCTACTCAGTGCGGTGCGCGTGGCAACGACTGCATCACAAGCAAATGATTTCTCAATTCGACGGTAGTCCCGGACGATGTATGTTGTACTACTATTACATTGAGCAGAGCTTTCCACAGCAGATATCAGATGCACCACTGTCATGAGAGCGCGACTACGACGACAAAAGAGGGGGAAATAGGGACTCGGGCGCAAATAATGAAGATGGTAACGGTATGAGGGGGAAGAAACCACTATACTGCCAGCCAAAGGAAGACGATAAGTGAGATTAAAGGCAGGAGAAAATCTAGACTGGAAAGAGAGGAAGCGAGAGAGAGGTGTCGTCACAGGTCATTAAGTGGGACGCCAATGGGTCCAGCGCAGCAAAGTGCGTTACGCCGGCGGACCCGCGTACTCCTCCGACAACGGCGCTGGCGCCTCGAGGAGCGGCTGCCCATGCACCCGCACTCTGTAGAGGCAAGTGAAGTCGTCCCGGCCCCAGTTGTTCTCGATCACCAGCGCCACGACGCCAAAGTCGATGCCGAGCTCCTTGACCTCCTGCGGGACTGCGAACGTCTGGATGTGGTCTGGCGCATAGATGTTGTACGAGAAGTTCGCGACGCGGACGGACTCGCCCCAGTTCCTCAGCAACGGCGGGACGGGCGGCTCGGCGTCTTCGACGAGGGGCTCGCCGCTCAGCGCCGCCTCCATGCGCGCCTCCTCCTGCCTTGACGCACGCGCCTCCCGCCACTCTCGCAGCTTGCCGAGGTTGTCCTTGCCCTCGACGAGGCCCCAGAGCTCCATGTAACGCGGGGCCGAGCGGCGGTCAGGCGCAAGCTCCTTCGCAACGTGGTCGATCGTAACATCGCTGATGAAGGTCGGCCCCGCGAGCTTGATCCCAAGCTGTCCTTGGGTGCCAGGGAAGGGCCAGCAATGTCCAGGGTTGCTCTCGTGGTGCAGAGCGGTGACGGGCGGACGACCGATCGCACCGTTTCCGCCGCCAGTGAAGAAGCCCGCGACCTGGCTGATGAGTCCGCCGGGCGGAATCTCGTACGTCTGCGTCGTGAGCGCCGGGATGACCTGTGCGCCCGCGGAATACAGTGCGTAATCCGGTCGCGCGACGACGTCCTTGGCCAGACGGTATACTGACGAACCAACTAGTTGGTTGATCAACGCCGTCACGTCCTGGCCGTCGCTCGACTTGATCGTCAGCGCTGAGCCCGCATTTCCGGAGGCAAGCTTGCTCCACCATGCAGCAGCGGTGCCCGTGGACGCACCGACCTTGGCCACGTTCTTCCCGAGCTCAAGAGCCTCCTTGACCCCGCTCTCCGCACTGCCCAGGCGTTCCTCCAGCGTGCGCAACTTGGCCCGCGCCTCCTCGTCGTTGTTGGGGACCGGCGTGCTGCGCGCCGCGCTCTCCTGATGCGCGCGAAGCTGCGCCTGCAGTGAGTCCACTTCCTGCTTCACGACCTGGATCGCATCGCTCGTCGACGCCCTGAACTTGGTCTCCGAGTCGTGGAAGCGGACGCTCTCTTTGTGCACCTGCGACTCCAGCGCACCGACGAGGCCGACGAGCTCGGACCGGCTGCCCTCGATCCACGACTTGGATTTCTCGGAATCTTGCGTCAGCTTGTTGAGCGCACCCTCTAGGCGCATCAGCCGATCCGCGAACTCGCCCAGGTTGGTGACGGGAGCGTCGGGCGGGTGGTACGGCGAACGCGACGGCATGAGCTTGGACAAGTCCAGCGAACCGCTCCTCAGAGTATACCATGCTCCGTAGATCGTGATTCCGACAAAGGCTGCCTTGAGGAACGGTGTGTAGTCCGCATGAGTGAGCCACCGGAAGGGTTTGTGAACGGTTATGTCTAGCGTCAGCCCGAGCACCTTGCCGACGAATCGAGCGATGAACCCAAGGAGGCCGAAGAACCATCGTATTATCATCCACCCCAGGCTGAAGGTGCCATGTACGCCGTGACCGAGACTCGCACCTATCGAGAACGTTGATTGTCGAGGCGTCTCGAAATCGTCCACAAGGAGGTCCTCGTCGATTTCGCGGATTGGCGGCAATGTGTTTTCAGGATCAGACTGGTCGGAGCGGATCAGGTCGTCAGGGTGTGATGTGGGGGGTATTGAAGATCGTGATAGTGGTGGATTGGAACCTCGTGGCGCAGACGGCGCACGGATAACTGGTGTTTGGCCGCGTACCGAACGCTATAAGTGCACATGAGACGTATGTCGCTCTCAAGGCACCGTCATGCATACCTGCTCTGCGACCGCTTCCTGCTCTTCGCTACTCTCCTCGTCTTCGTCGCCGTTCGTCTTTCCGTTCGCTCGCTTCTTCTTCTTCCTCTTGTCATAAGCGGCGATGGGCAGGGATGTCAACGGTGGCCCTCCCATGCCACCTTTCTTCTTCTTTCGACGCGTTCTCTTTCCGTTCTCGTCATCGAAGTCTTCGTCGGACACTTCAAGGTCAGACTGCGTCGGCTTGTATGCCTTGTTGTCTGTAGACATCCGATTGCGCTTATGCGCGACTGTGTTTCGCCTTGGGGGGCCTATCGGAACAGTCTTCTCTGTGGCCAGCTGTGCCTGGTAGTCACGCTCCTCTGCGGAGTAGTCGTAGCTCGAGCTTTCGTTCGCGGCACCATTCCCGATCGACCGAGAATGTGACTGATCCGCTTCGGGCTCTCGAGATCGAGCCCGCATGAGGATCGAAACAGGGGCGTAACGCTGTGCGGCATCGAGGATGTGTTCGAAGGGGCTCTTGCCGCGACTGCGCTCTTGGGACTGGGATGGCTCGGTTTGTTCACCCTCCGAGTCAGGTACGTGTCGGATGGACGCGGCCTTGGAGAGGGGTTTGCGAGCGCCCGTTCGACTAGGCGGAGGTGCGAGACGTCGATTAACTGTCGACTGCGTCTCCTTCTCGTACTCCACGGACGTGCTCCGGGGGACCTGCCTGCGGGCGCCGGACGTCCAAGAGTCGTTGGGATTCATGCTGTCGTCGGTATTGGCTGCGGTGTGGAATGCGCTTGCGATGTTTACTGAAGTGTCTTTGACGGACCACTTCTCGGGATGGGGAGATGTGTTGGGCTGGGGGCCCGATGGGGCGTTGGTGCTTGCTTGCTCGCGTTGCTTGAGACGCGCGAAGCGGACGAGGGCGGGTTCTTCTGTGTCGTCTGGCGGATCGGCGAGAGCGGGTGCGTTCTGTGATTTGGGAGGGGAGCGCGTTCCGAGGGTGGGTCCTCTGGCCATGGATAAGTGGTCAGCACGCAGCACACGATATTATAAGCACGCTACGCGCAGACGTACCCGTACGCGTAGGATGCAGGGATGGTGCGGCGAGGCGGTGAGTGTGCCTTTGGACGGGGCTTGTTGAGGAAGGTTTGGTGATCCAGACGTCTTCCTTGACCTAGCGGCGTGCTCGAGAAGGACATGTACTGCGTGTATCGTGTTCGGTCACAGAGAGCACGCGAATTTGGATGCGGACACGGCGAGGATTAGATTGCAGCAGCGGTGGATTGCGTTTGCGGGTATGCATGCACAGGAGATCAAGAGACAAGCCTCGCGGACGGCGCGTGCAGGGAGCAGGTTCGTTCGTGGCCGCGGCGTGCAGCGTTCGCGATGGTGACCGCAATTCCTGTTTGGCCTTGTTTGTCTTCCACGCCCTCCGCATATGGGCATCAATGTTGTTCGCTTTAGCTGCCAACAATGCCTCGAATTCATTGCGGTGGGCCCGTCTCTCGCTCGCTCGCTCTTAGCTAACGCGCACTGCACGCAACTGGAGGAGCCGGCAAGTCTGTCCTCACTTAATCGGAACACTCGTCACAGCCCAACTCATTTGACCACACTCCACTTTTTACGACAAGGAGTAAGTACTGACTTACAGTACATCCACTCACTCCTGTTGAGTCGCTCAGGAGAACGTGGTCTCATCAAAGCGTTATTTCAGGTCTTCACTGTCGAGGGTCAATAATTAAGTCAAATTCAACTGCAAAAGTGTACGGCATGACGAACTAACCTGCACCTCCACAGACCTCCATAGGTCTGCCAATAACGCTCGGGGCGCCTCCGACGGAAACTGAGTGATGCGGACGTCCTGTCGCGCGGTCGCCAAGTAATGCAAGAATTCCGCGCAGTCATCAGCCAGAGCTCTGAGACCCTCGTCTGCATTGCACGCGTCGATGAACGGCTGGCGGAATCGATCCGGGACTTGTTTCTGCGGAAGATTCGTCCGTTCGTGCAGCACCCGCAGCTTGGGGCACACGTCCTTGTGAGGTGCCTTCGCATGTTTCCAGGCGCTCTTCTGGCACTCCCGCGAGCAGTAGCACAGTATGCCGCAACCGGCGCATCGGGGGAAGGGTCGTCCTGCAGTGGCAAAGGTCTCCTTGCATTCGGGCGCGCAGCAGTGCCGCAGCTGGGCCGCCCAGCGAAAGCCCTCGAATGCGAGCTGCACAGGGTCTGCGATGGCGGCGTCCGTCTCCGCTCGCAGCCGTAGGATTTCGGGGTCGTACTCCATGCCGTCGTTGTCGGGCCTGTAACAGTAGAACATCGCGGCGAAGCTCTTGGATTGAAGGGTGAGCCGTTCGATGACTTCGTCCGTGAAAAGAGTCGTACCATTTTGGAAGGACGGCAGCGCTTTGAAAATGAGGGTACACACAAGCAGTAGGCCACAATTCACGGCCTTGGTCTCGCCCACCTTGCCTGCCTCGAGTCGAATAAATAGTGCAATGTCGAATGGATATCTTTGCCCTTCCTCGTTGACTCTCGAGCAGAACTTCATGATCAGGGTGAGAGTGTGAAGCCAGCCCACTTGCATATCCATCCTGACAAGCCTTCCCATGGTCTCCTTGCGCTCACGAAGGATAGCATCGGTCATAAGGGTGACGCGCATAGGCCACTCGGCCTCAGACTGTTGGATATGCCAGAGGACGGGTCCTCCAAACAGGGAAAGCAACTCCGTGACAAACAGAAGGGTGTCCTGAAATCTGCGATTGCGGCATAACTTGAAAAACACGGCGTATCCCTTCATCGACTGCTCGAGACCGTAGGGGATGAGTTGCGTCGTGTTCACGGGCCATGGACGACATTGGGTGCGCTTTTTCGAGTTCTGTTTGAGGCCGGCCGACGCGACGGCGCCGCTGAATGTCTTTGTCTCTATAGCGTTATTCAGGATACCACCGAGGTGCCGAACGAGCGCTTCCCCGAAGTCCTGGAGCGTGAACCGACGAGTAGGCCGGAAGCGGTGCAGCCGAGCTAACAATGATCTTGACGTCCTGTTGCGCGCCGACGTCGGACACGAGCACACAGACAGGGATGCGTAGAGCTCCTCGAGTTCCTCGTTCGAGCGCGGTATGCTCAAGAAGGCGACGCACGCATCCAAGTACGCGTGGTGTGCCTTGCGGATGTCCTCGTAGCCCTCATATTGTGGCAGGAAGAAAGGCAGGTCCATCGCGTAGAGGTCGTTGTCGTCCCTCCCGTCCAAGACATGAAGGCATGCACAGAGGACTCGTGCACAGTGAGTCGGCCATGCCGGATCCCTCATGCAAGTTGTGAAAAACTGTGCGATTGCGTCTGTTCTGCGAGTCGCCATGGCGTCTTGGAGAGCCGGTAGTCTGTACTGAGCACCACGGGTCAGCTACCGTAATCAAAATTCTGCAACAACGACGGACTATTAATACTCACCTTCAAGCAAGAGAAAAGAGTTGAAGAAAAACCTGTGTTCTGTGCTTGTCGGCAATTGCTATGGGCGGGCGTGGGACTAATGAGAGCACATCACGGCAGCAGCGACTTGGCAGCAACTATGTAGCGGCGAGTGATGCAGGCAGCAGGAAAAGCCATTACACGATCTCGACTTCGTCGGGACGACGGCGTCAAATGATGCAGCCTATCTATTATATCTCGCTGAGTACGTCAATGTTGTACTTAAAGTCGTTCGTTGTTAGACCCTAGTCTTCCGCAGGCAGACCGCAATACAGCCTCCTCGATGGGGAGGACAGTTGTACAAGGGTTGAACCCCCTACAAATATTGCTTGTTTTGGAGTCGCAATAGCAAACTGTGGATACATAGATTGCAATCGCGCCTGTCGAGTTGTTGAGAAGCGACTACATCGAAGCCGCGTTGATTGGGATGATAACTGTCAAGATGGCAACGTCAAAGTGAAGTTTAACTGCATAGGTTGGGGTGTGACGCGGAAGGTCCAGCTGTGAGCAACGCCGAAGTCCTGTCGCACGGTCGTCAAGTAATACATGTATCTCGCGCAGTCATCAGCTAGAGCTCTGAGCCCCTCTGCGTTGCACGCATCGATGAACGGCTGGAGGTCGCGGAACTGATCTGGGATTCGTTTCCGCGGAAGATTCGTCCGTTCATGCAACACTCGCAGCTTCGGACAGATGTCCTTGTGAGGGGCCTTCGCATGTCTCCAGGCGTTCTTCAGACAATCCCGTGAGCAGTAGCACAGGACGCCGCACCCGGCGCATCGGGAAAAGGGTCCCCCTGCAGTGGCGAAGGTCTCGTTGCACTCGGGCGCGCAGCAGTGCCGCAGCTGGGCCGCCCAGCGGAAGCCTTCAAATTAGTCTCCCGTGGGCAGAGTAGACAATTCTTTCAACCTCCGCGCGCTCCGGATATTCTTGTCTGACATGAACTGGTGCAGCCGTGCTAGTAGTGTCCTTGCCGTCCCATTGCGCGATGACTGCCACGCCGGACACGAGCACACAGAGAGGGTCGCGTTGAGCTCCTCGAGCTCCTCCCTTGAGCGCGGCATGCTCAAGAAGGCCACGCACGCACTCAAGTATGCATGATTTGACTTACGGATGCCTTCGTAGCCCTCGAACCGAGGCGTGAAGAAAGGCAGGTCCATCGCGTAGACGTGGTTGTCGCCCCTCCCGTCCAAGACGTGAAGGCATCCGCAGAGGACTCGGGCACAGTGAGTCGGGCGTGCCGGGTCCCTCATACAAGCTGTGAACAGCCGTACGACTTCGTCTATTCTGCGAGTCGTCATGGTGTCTTGGAGAACTGGCAGTCTGTCCTGCGCGCCGTGCATCAACTACCGTGGTCAAAGCCGCGCAAGAACCATGTGTTACTCACCTTGCAGCAAGAGAGAAGAGCTGAGGAAATAAACTGCGCTTGCCGGGCATTGCTATAGGCGGGCGTGAGACCGATGGGAGTAAATCACTGCAGCAGCGATTAGTGGCATTGATGGAGTCCAAGTCAGTACACGACCTCGACTTAATCGTCGGGACGACGGCGTCAACAGAGCCTATTCGGGCAACCTTCCTGCCACTCTATTGACCTGACGTCCGCCATAACATTCACTGGAGAGATGAGCCCATGTGAGGCCGGCAAATATTGGGCTGAGACCGGCCAATGCAAATTGCCTGGAGCATTCCTCGCAGGTATCGTACCCATTGCGCGGCGTGTTGGCAGACAGCGCGCGGGAAAAATTGAAGTTTGACAACCGCTCAATGTCTGACCGTTGAACACGGCGATTTGAGAGGCGTTACGACCTGATGCATATCGTACAATTTGAACCGCATGCGTCCGAGTCCAGTGCTAACTTACTTTACATCCAAGCATGTATATCCAGCCTCCCCTTCTTCGCATCAACCTGCGTGAGCCCCGCTCCAGCTCAGAGATCAGCGAATTTGTCTGCTGCCTCGACGAGCAGCTTCGACGTCCCCGGCTCTCGCGCGGAGTGCCCCGCGTCGGGAACGATGTGCAGCGTGATCTCCGGCCAGACCTGCCAAACGGGATCAGTCATGCTCTGGAGAATTTTGAGTGGGGACGTGGGACGCACCTTCTTGAGATCATACGCCGTGGTTGCCTGTATGAGTGAGATCGATCTCAGAAGTGCACTCGGTGTGATATGGTGGTACACCTACCGGGCAGACCACGTCGTACCGGCCTTGCACGACGATGCAGGGGATGTGGCGGCTGGGCGGCGATGTTAGATTCTGTCATTCGTCAGAAGTCGATAGTAGTACGGACATCTTGTCAATCTCTTGCTTCTCCAGCAGCTGGCCGTCCCGCATGAAACCCTACCCAAGCACCGTCAATATGTAACGCCCACAGGCTACGAAGCAGAGAGTGCTGATACCCACATCATTGACGAAGTAATGGTTTTCGATCTTCGCAAACGCGCTACGGACAAAATCAGACCGAGCAACCTCTTAGGACCCAACAGAGTCGCAGGGACATCGACACTCACGTCGCCCACTTATCGTCCTCGACGTGCGCAAGCTGCGCTGGGTCGACATACAGCTTTGACGTCGCCATCCTGCACACTCCCGCAATCAGATTCACGTCCCCGTCGCAGGGAAGGACGAGGGGACGTACTCCCACTTGGACCACGCCTTCGCAGCGCGCAGACTCACCTCTTCGTCGGCGGAGTTGAGCTGCGCGTGGTACGCCGTGACCATGTCTTGACGCTCGGGCTCAGGGATGGGCGCGATGTATTCTTCCCTGCGTTGAGTCGGACATCAGGTCGACGGAGGAGATAGATGGATGCGAAGGATGGATGGCTTACCACGCGTCTGGGAAGAGATGGGAGGTGCCTTCTTGGTAGAAGAAGCGGAGCTCGCTGAAGGAATCAGAATAAACCCATATCCCAGAAAATGTCTCAGTTCACCTTTTGCGCAAGGTGAATATTCCGCTGCATAACAGAGCCGTTATTTCCTTGTTCATCGGCACTGGATAGCTTGGACATACCGAAGTACGAGCGACTTCACGCGATCAGGGTGACTCTCCGAGTAAGCCAGGGCCAAGGTCGATCCCTGTAAAGCGCATGAGACGGCATGACGGAGGTATAGGCATTCGCCAACACGCACCCACGATCCTCCAAAGACGTTCCACTTGTCGATCTTGAGCTGTTCGCGCACCTTTTCCATGTCCTTCACCAGGTCCCAGGTGGTGTTATCCTCGAGAGACGCGGTGCTGTCGGACGATGGGGCGGTGACTCAAACTGTTGTGAATGAACCTACGGTGTCGACTTTCCCGAGCCTCTTTGGTCGAAGAGTATGATCTGGGGTCCATGTCAGTAGTGAGTGACAAGAGGAACTGTGGGGCAGACATACCTTGTACTTCTCAGGGTTGAAGTAGGCACGATCTTTCGCATCTGTACCGTTTCCGGGACCACCTATAATGCGTCGTGAAATGCTGCATCTGTCTACTACGCTCAAAGGTAACTCGCCATGAAGGAAAACGACTTGGACAACATCGGATTAGTAGCAGCCACACTAGCGTCCCGCGACGTGGCGACGCGTACCTGGGTTGCCCTTCGGGTTGCCGCTCACTTCATAGCTGCACCCCACCTCTGAGTCCCGCGACGCACGTCAGTTGAAACAGAACGTACTAGAGCGTATGCAGGTCCGAGACCTTCAGCTTCCCCGTCTCGTATGGCTCGATGGGCGGGTACATCTTCGGCGCGCGTCGCGATCCCTCGAGGTTCTGGCTCATGTTGCGTTGAAGCGAGGGCAGTCTGGCTTGTGGTAGAGGGAGACGCACGGGTCTTGAGGAATGGATTGAGGCTGTGAGTCTCAGTGCGTCTGACCGAGAGCCTCTGCGGGTGAGGAGGACGGAGGAGGATCGTGAGATTGCGATCATACTGAGACGCCTTCCTTTCTGGGCGACGGCGGCTTGTGCGAGCGGCGACTCGATCGTCTGCCGATCTCGCTCCTTGCTCGCTCCCAATGACTCTTCGTGCCGTCCTTCGACGTGCAGTGCAAATGAGGATGGGCGAAAACAGACGTTCCAAGGGTTGCTGTGTCCCAGATGGGCAAGGCATGCGCACCTCAACCTCAAACACGACTACGACTGGAATGCATCTGGCTAGTCAAGATCTGCTGGTACGTCTATGAGCCGACCGGAGAGTCAGGCATTGGCACTGGCAGGTGTACGGGAATGTTGCCGTTCATGCAACTGGAAGGCCCAATCCGTCTCGCAAGGCTGTGCACTGTGCACATCCTGAGCAGAATGCGCCTTCGACTCGTCAACTCTACTCCTCGTGCAATGGAGAGCCTTACGATGGTCTGCTCTCAAATTCGGATGGTGAACGCAACTTGACAGAGCTGATGCACAGGAGCGAATCACAAGGGCGGAATGTGCGCTTCTGGAGGCCGTCGAGGCGCTACGCATGAGAAAAGACGGACGCGGGCTCACAATCTCCACCATGGACGGACGCGAGCCTGTCAGGTGGCCCTCTCGCCGCAGCGCGACTCGTCCGGAATGAATAGGCTGCATGTGCGTCCGGGCCTTGTGACGACGGCGACGTCCTCCAACACTGCGCCGTCCCCCGATATGCCTGTGGACGAGCCGGGTCTCTGCAGGAACCATCTTTCATACACCGTCACACGTCCGGCGTCCGCGCCCACTCTCGTCTCGCCTCCCCACACTCGAGCATAAGAGCCTCCGGGGACGGTTCCCACCCCGCGTCTCGACATACCTTCCCCGCGTTCGCAGGTGCCTACTGTCCCCGTCCCCGCACTCGCGCTCGCACGGCCAAGGTGAGATGGCGCACCCCGAGAAAGACGATCACGAGCCCGAGAAAGTCAACCATGGGCCCGAGCACGTCGAGGACGCGGCGAGCATTGACAAGGGAAAACCGCCGCCATACAGCAACCTGACAGCGCTCGCGCACGCTGCCGCGTCGGAGAAGGCGTACACGCCATTGCAGGCCGTCCGGGTGTACTGGCAGGCGACGCTTTGGTGTCTGTTCATGTGCATGGGCGCTCTGCTGTGGGGCTATGACTCTCAAGTGAGCACGCACAGCATAAGCATTTCGCAGGTTACTCACTCGTGCTGCGTAGGTTGGAGGCGGTCTGCTCAGTGTACCGTCTTTCCGTCGAGACTTCGGCTTTTACAGCGGAGGCGCAGGAGAATACATACTGGCGGCGCAATGGCAGAGCGCCTTCAACAGTGTCAGTTCCATTGGCGGCATGTTCGGTGGCCTGTCCCTGGGCTATGTCTCTGATAAGCTCGGGTGAGTGCTCTGGATTCTATGCCAGCAAATGTACGGTGCTCAATGCGCCCGGTACATAATGCACAGACGGAGAGGTGCAATGGGTGTTTGCTGCATTGTGTCCATCGTGGGAATCTTCATCCAATTCTTCACGTACCCGCACAAGAACGCGCAGCTCATCGTCGGGAAACTGGTCAACGGGTATGCCTTAGGTAAGCGCCCTCGCAGTTCCTGATCTACGCAAAACTGAGTCTAATGCACTCCGCCCAGGCATGTACGTCTCTGGGGCAAGCTCGTACTGCGCCGAGGTGTCTCCCCTGGCGCTGCGTGGTATCACGACGTCATCAGTGAACCTCTGGATCGTCCGTGAGTACTGCACTCTATCGCTGGCCCGGACCTCAGCTCACGCGGCCGTCCCTTTCCGCAGTCGGACAATTGTGAGTTCTACATAGCACACGGCGTCGAGCCACTCTGATGATCCCGGCAAAGGATGTCGAACGGTGTCATTGAAGGCACAGGTAGCTGGACGTCCTCGTACGCATACAGACTGCCCTTGTGAGTCCGTATTCTCTCACTTCATCACTTACTGACCCTACTTCGGTGCAGCGCCCTCCAATGGATCTTCCCGGTCATCCTGCTCATCGGCCTCCCCTTCGCGCCCGAGTCGCCGTGGTGGCTCGTGCGCAAGGGCCGGAAGGACGATGCGCGCGGGATCCTCGTGCGCCTCTCGGACGGCTCGTCGGACGTCGACCTGCAGCTCCGGCAGATCCAGGACACGATCGCGCTCGAGGACAGCTTCGCGGCGAACTCAACATACGCGGATTGCTTCAGAGGTGAGCTGGTGATGTAGTGTGTATTGAAGGTGGGCGGGAGGCTGATGAACGGCAGGGGTGAATGGCAGGCGGACGATGATTGCGTGCATGGTGTTCGTTTTGCAGCAGGCGGCAGGTGAGGATGTGGTTGGTTTGGGGCCGGAGCGATGACTGAGTGCATGATAGGCGTGGTCTTCGTCCTGGGCTACAGCACGTACTTCTTCGAGCTCGCCGGATTCCAGAACAACAATGCCTTCCGTCTCGGCGTCGGCGTGACTGGCATCGGTGTAAGTCCTTCGTACAGAATCTGCACGACTCGAAGTGACGCAACTCCGGTGGTCTGATAGGTCGCGGGCAACCTGATCAACTTCTACACGGTGAACAAGGTTGGCCGGCGGTTGATGTTTAACTGGACTATGTTCGCGAGCACGATCGTGCTCTTCCTCGTCGGCTTCCTCGCCATCCCGTCGAACAACCAGAGCGCGAAGTGGGCGATGGCGTCCTTCGTGCGTGCCCCATGCCCTCCTGTCATACCGCCGCGTATGCTGACGAATCACCATTGACTAGACGATCATCTACAACTTCATCTTCCAGCTCGGGTTGTGAGTGGATTGAATGAACGTATGCGGTGGGCATGGCTGACCACATGTCAGGGGCCCACTCGGGTACGTCATATTCGCCGAGGTCTCCTCCGCGAAGCTGCGCTCCAAGACAGTCGGCATCGGTATCCTCGTCAACTCGCTCTGCGGTATGGTCATGAACATCGTCATTCCCTACCTGTACGTCCTTTCCGTCGCTCTCTTCACGCACTTAGTCGTGATGTGCCTGCCAATAGGGTGACCCCGGACGAGGCGAACCTGGGCGGGAAGGTCGGCTTCATCTTTGGCGGGCTCTGCGCAATCGGCACGGCGTGGGGATACTTCTACATCCCCGAGACGAAGAACCGGACGGTCGACGAGTGAGTGCCCCTTTTTGCTGTGTCGTGTCATTTGTTGGGTGAGGGCTGACGTGATGTCCAGGCTGGACACGATGTTCGAGCGCAAGGTCGCGCCACGCAAGTTCGGCACGTACGTGATCGAGGAGGAGGATCTGCCCGTGCCTGCGCAGGAGATTGCAAGCTCATAACATGCGTCGCGGAGTGTATTGCCAGCGTCGCTGGGGCATGGAAAGTTGATGATGCAGATACACGATGTCCTTGGAAGTGATGAACGCTGTTGTAACGGACGTGACTGCGATGATTCATGTCTTGACGCTTAGTACTTGCGATTGTATCATTTAGGGATATACTGGTATTGTCTGCGCTTCGTAATACTTGCTATCGAGGGTGAATGACTAGGATGCGACTCGGCGCGTCTGATATTTCGCAGTGCTTGTGCTGATCATGAACTTTTCTAAATGCACGATGCAAGAAAATGAGACCTGAAGCTTTATATTTCAGCCATGTTCCCTAACTCGAAATGCCGCCAAGAAGGGCGGCGCTACCTTGCTCCACCCAGGACAAGTTCCTTCAGAACGCCAAAGTTGGGTGTGCCCCAGCCAGTGACAGGATCCCATCCTATGGTTGCCTAGTCACAATTCAATGAGTAAACCCTTCACTGACATCACACAATCAACCTCACGTTAAAGCCCTCTGTACCACACCCCGGGTTGTTACCGACAGTGATATCGTTGAACCCCGTTGTCGTCTGCGCGTTGAGCGAATAAATCAATGGATTGAGGAAGCCAAGTGGGAACTTCCCGCTGGCGATGCGCGCGTCATTGAGTAAGGACACGAATGCTGTGAACGTGGGCGTGGAGCAGGAGGTCCCGTCGACGAGGCCAGTTTCCGCGTCCCATACAATAGTGAAATTGACGCCCTCGGCAGAGACGTCAGGGTAGGCCTGTTGGATCGTCAGTGGAACTGCTTAGATGTTATGGAGAGAATGACACACTCGGCCAGACCTTCGGAGAGCGAGATATCAGTCTGTGTGCGAGCTATCCTATCATCACTGGCACCTCACTACTCACGCGTTATACAGACCCGCATACGTCCCTGGAGCCAGCTCGCCGAGGTACTTCGTCACCGCAGTGTCCTGGTAGGATGGTCGAGCGAACTAGACAGACGATTCAGCGCGTCCCCAAGACCAGTAACAGCAAAGCCTCACGCACGTAGTTGCTGAACCCACCGCCAGAGAACCACGCCGCAATCTCTGGCACCCCCGAAGTCGCTCCCACAGCCGTGACGCTGACAAGCATCTGTTAGTGCACACTGTGGCCAGCAGAATGGATTCTCACTAAGGGCAGCTAGCTGGGAATCCGGGTATGAACATCGTCACGTTGCGACCATCGTTGCTGTAGCACTCCTGGGTAGCCGGGTCCGGGTCGCCGTCGCCCACACCCGCGTCTCCGGAGCCGAACATAATCGAGATCCCTCGGGCACCTAAGAAATCTTGGGTCAGCGATCGTGTCCACATGGGGGTCAACGTCGCATACACACCAAGCTGCGCGAACTCTGCGCAGACGCGCTTCGCATAGCTGTACGGGACTGCAGAACCCTATGAAGTACAGTTACACCACCACTAGAAAAACATCGTACCGGTCTGCTCGTCGTCTTCGTAGCTGGTGGAGATCGACTGTGGCAGGTCCTCTGCAGAGAGCACGTATTCGAGCCACTACAAATGCGTCAGGTCCCAAGTTGAAAAACTTCGCACAAGTACCTAGGACCAGCCACTCGCCTGCATGTATGGCTCATTTGAGTCCGTAGGCTCGAGATCATCAGGGATGAAAGGCGGGCTCCCGCCAGTCGTGTAGAACGTTCCCGGCGTCGGGTACGTAAGG